TAGGCCAGACAGATATTTCTCCCGGCCCGGGAATCGAACCCGTGACCTTTGCAGGGAAGACCTGCATGATAACCGTTTGGCCACGGAGACAGTTATCGGAAAGTGGGTGAAATCCAATAAACAGGATTCATCCTCTAATTTACCACCCTTGGAGGTAGAATATTTTTTCAAATTTAAATAGAACTACTACTGAGGTACTCCTTTCCAACAAAAAAAGAATCGTCGAAATCTGTTCAGAAATTTTATTTTATTTTATTTTATATCAATTTTTGTTTAGAAATGTCAAAGTGATCGCGTAACATACACAAAAAAAAACCAGACGAATTGAGAACCACCTCCTTTTTTGAAAGTCTCCTCTCCTTTACTGTAAGTCAGAAGAAAAATGAATTTAAATATGAAGTAAGCATAATCTTAAGATAGATTTATAGAAAAGCTAATTCAAAAAATATAAACATAGAGTTTATATTACAGTACTTATTAAGATTTGTTTGAGGTACGACGCACACTTGACGTACACCCCTCTAAAAATAGTATAAGCGGTAAGGTAATGTTATTTTCGACTCGTACGTTGTCCGTTTATTTTTTCTAAAATTAATGGTCCTGTTGGAGAGTTAATTCCAGACTTCCCATATTATTTATATAAGCTATGATACTACTGAATCTTGAATAATTAACGTAGAGCGAAATTTAAAAAATTAAGAGGCGTCATCTTTTCGTTATAACACGAAACAAGACTTAAGCTAGAGAGTTGCTGCGGTTTACTGAGCAATAACGCTACATAGCTAGTTAGTTCACATCTGTCCGTCACAGATGGCGCCACGTTACTATAATTTATCCTCTGTGATGTAATGCTCCTTGTGAGTATAGCGTTCTGTGAATGGTTCTATCTGTGCCCACGTGCAATGGGTTTTGCTCAACATAGATGGCGCTACATTCAACTACTCGCTTTTTCTTAGTTGTGTTTTTGTTCATATTTTTTTCTTTTGTTCTTTGAACAAAAAGAAATAGTTCAATGTTGTTTATATAGGTATATCAACGTAATAAATTAGCTACAATATAAGATAAATGGTGTTTTTATCACTACGCAATGACATTAAACAATTCCTGACGCTTTTATTTCTTTGCATAGCTTCTTTTCACTTTGTTTTCCAATATTTATAGGTAAGTAATTGCCTATGTAAAGTTACATAAATTATCAACACGTTTACTGTAACCGTTGGACTTTGTTGGCACGTCTATAAGTCACGGTCGGCCATTTCAATCACCCGCAACTATCATTGTACTGATACCAACAAATTGTAGGTACGTAATAAATAGCTCTAATTTGGAGAATCTATTAACTACGTTCTAAAAAAGTAAAATTGGCTTATTGTTGATATTGCAGTATAATTGTGAATTAATTTATAATAATATGTAAATTTAATACTGTTTGTAGAGGGTAAACAGCAGGTCAAGCTACTGACTTTAATTCCACTTTATTATTATATCAACGATTCGATGATCAAAGTATCAAACTTGATGTGTTCGTGGTGTGATTAACGTGATAAGTAAGATACGAGTATATTCAAAACGTTACTTTTCAAATTACAAAGTAAGCAACAATTTCCAAAAGGAATGTGGGAAAATTGTTGTATTACGCACCGTACAACGGGAAGGAAAACAAGAAATTAAAATCAAAAATATTTAATTTATAAATATAATATATACATATACTTATCATTTACAAATAACTATTTACAATTTCAATAAAATAAATCATTAAATTCACAAACAATCCGTTTCGATTGACTCCTTATCATTATAAAGGCACTTAAGTATGTATTATGCGCTACATTAATCCTTGTAATTAGTTGGGCTTCTTCAGATATACTCAAATGGTATATAACAGAGTCGTCTAACGACTAGAAGAGGCAACTGAGGCAGACAGATGACGAAAAATATTGCAAAAGGGCTAAAGAGTATACACGCTCCCAACCAGGCCATTATGAACCACGTGGGCACAAATGCTATTTGTTCCAACAACATTATCAAATCACACAATATTATACTTATTATTTAGTGCACTAGAACGTGTTACTAATGTCATAACTGCACTAACAATAAATGTAACACTTATAACCATCATAGCGTGAAGTTCACTCAAGTTGCTAAAGCTGTTCGGTTGTGTTCAATTAAGAACGCCACCTGAAACAAAAAGAAAATAATGCTTTACGAAATGAATGAATTACAAAACTAGAGTTGGTACTAAATTGTGGATTAGCAAATAGTTCTAAATTTCAATAATATCAAAATATAAATTGTGTTGCTACAATAACAGCAGTGACTACAAAATGTTCTGGCACTTTTTGTTTTATAATTACTCCATTTAATATTTCTATTCAAATCTATTTATTTATTTACTATAAGGACAACAATCAAATTACATTGATACAAATTAAATATGATATAACAAAGTTCTGTACTAGATTGTAACCCTACTTATGTTGACATATCAATCTATAGTAACAAGAAAGAACTACTGTTAAATTTGCTGTGAATTTACTTATTTACTTAATACTAAAGCGTCAAGGGAATGGGTGAAAATCTATACAAGTGCAAGTTGCTTTACTACTCGTCTAAATACTCTGGATATTGGATCAAAAATGTCCAAATCGACGTTTTTCATAGATATTTCGTTGTAAAGCCGCACACCGCATAACAAAAATAAGCCAAAACTTATATTCGTTATTCTATTATTGCTTTTCTGCGGTTGTCCCCACATTAAATGTACATTTCCTAGCTTGTTTCATAAAACTTTTTAAATTACATTTCGTTTGGTTTTGTGAACTCATTAGCACCATAAACAAGTAATTCACTACAGTAGTGTGGGTAGTAAGTAATTTGAGAAAAAATCTTCTGGTACAAGGGAGGTGTCCTGGTTTCAGTGGACTGAAAAGTAATGAGACTTATTACCGATTGTCTTGGGGTATCAAAATTTCAAATCAACCACCGCAATAAAGTAGGCTGTTTGTCAATTTTCCATCAGATACATTTTCGAGAGTGTGTACGAGGACTTTATAATTTAGTTCCAGCCTTACTGTTCACACTTATTGACAAAAAGTCACACTCCACCCTTATGACATAGACATCACCTAGTAGCACGAGATAATTTGCTCCCTCCTTCCTAATGTTCCCAAAAACTTCAATTTAGGGCTATTAAGGCTGGAACGAATACATAATAAAATGCATTAACTAAAAAAAGGAAATATTACGTGTTATAAACGTATTGATTGAAGTCGTTGCATTACGACACGTACGATGTTTTAATTAATTACACATATATTCAAGTGACTTGTGTTCGCTTTGTCCGGCGTTACATTACTTTGTTACATAATCGTACTTTATTAATAGACTTTGATAAATATGATCTAACGTTCTGTTAACAGTGATATTCGCTAATAAACTTAATCAAATACATCAATTACCTGTTCACGAATGTCTATAATACGTCATAGAATGAAACTGCAAAATTGCCAATTGTGGGTATACCTACGTCGTATCTTTTATCAATTTAAAAATTTAAAACCGAAAACAGGAAAGTATGCAAAAATTACCATTTGTCATAAACATAATAGGCTTCAGTTGTACATGCAAAATTGTTTTGTAGTGTCAACATTTACAGTTTACCTAAACCTCTTAGCTGTTTTGCTCTGAGTTTTTCGGAATTGATGTGCGAAATTGTATTGAAATTTATCATGAGCTTTTCGGTGAAAGAAAATGACGTGAAGAAACCTGCACACATCTGCAAAGCAATTTAATTATGTGTGTCAAGTTCCCCATCCGCGCTGGACCCGCGTGGGAACTACAACCTACAACCTTTCTTTGTGAGAGGATGCCTGTGACCATCAATGGGACCATACATAGGCTAACTATTTATTTATTTTTTATACCCTTTTATAATAATGTCTCAATACTCAACGGAACTTTATCCATGTTTGTTTGGAAACTTCGAGAAATATATAATAATACTTAAATTCAAGAACTATATAATCCGCTATCAATATAAACATAATTTTGTTATATGACTTATTTCAATACATTTCTTTTTAAATTACAAGATAACATTATCAGTAGTTGTTACCCGATAACCAATAGAGTATATTCGAATATGTACTTATATTTTGAAACGTGTCACGAATTGCATTGATAGCCTTGTATGAATTTTATAAATAAAATATTGCGTATTTCAAATTTTATGAAGTTTATAAAATAATTCTCAGATTATGTTATTTTCTTTAATAATTGGTTTAACGTTAGTAAGTTCATATAGTCATCGTTTAACCCATCGCTTTTCTAGACGTAGAAAATGAATCCACTCAATGTACGTAATACGTAACTTACAATTGTCAAAATTAAAAACAGGTCAAGGTGACGTCAAGTTAGGTTAAATTTCCAAATTGAGATGATAGTTTGTCTCAATTAACGTCACGATGGTACGTGATAAAAATATCGCAACCATCATAACACTAATTTAGACAATTGAAACTTTTAGCAAACAATTACAATATACATATATTTATACAAAAGAATGTTTAACTTTCCATAAATTATGAAAATTTATATCTAAAGAATGTCTAAAGTCATAAAACAAAAATATATTTGTACTTTATCAGAAAATTAAAATTCGTAAATCGTCAATCGTATATAATCATACAAATTTGCGGTTTTTACATTTGAATGTTACCAATACACATTCAAGTATTTGTTATCCATGAATAGAGAAACTATTACTAACAACAGTTTAAAACAATCTTGTAAGGAAAAAAACCTTTACAAGTACTCCAAACGATGTATACGAATTAAATCGATTTTTAAACGACTTAAAAAAAAGGAGGAAGTGCTCAATTCGACTGTATATTTTATTTGTTTGTTACGCGATAACTTGTAAATATTTTGATGTTAGATGTAGTTAGATTTTAATGATTTTTTCTGTTGGAAAGAGGGTACATACCTCAGTATTTAAATGGGGCCACATTTAAGTTTGAAGAAAATATTATTCCTCCAATGGTGGCAAACTAGGGGATGAATGACTTTTGAGGTCGGCTTTTTTAGCACTCTGTACTGATATTATTATTTTTTTAATTTTCATAATATCAAGTGACGGGACGAACAAGTCGTGCATCTGTTGGTAAGCTAGGCATGCCTGTCCATAACAGTTGCACTCAGAACTTTAAATCGCAAATATCTGAGGAGCACCGCCACTGCGCCCGTCACTCTGTGACATTAGATGACAAGTCCTATGTGCCTGTAATTTCACTATCACCATTCTATAATGAAATTGCAATTTAAAGGTTACTATACCAACAAAAACAAAATATAAGCTCCTATTAAACAGTGTTTCGAATATTTGACACTAAGATCTATCTTCAATCTATCCATTATAGTCGAGGATGCGGGTCAGTATCTCTACCAGCAGTTTACTTCGTCTACAATCGTGCAACTTCGCAAAATATTTACATAAAACATTTTATCTCTTCTTGTGACAGGTATCCGATTGTCAAATATTTAACACGGTCGTTAGTGACTATCGATATAGTAAAGTCATGGTATAATTACTAATATTAATAATCTCCATTTTCCTAACAGGATATTTATCAGTGCGCGTCAAAAGTTGTTAGATAGCATCCATTTTAGTGAAAACATTATTTTAACCCAGACACGGTATCTACATAAAAATAAATTATGAATATCTAATGTTATCATTCAATAGAAGAGTTCTTGTCAGATAAAGAGCTATAAGGAATATGGATAAATGTTCTGTCTGTCACGAACCACATACTTCTAATATAACGTACATATTTAGCAATTTAGTGATAATGCATATTTCAATTTCTATTATAGTAGTTAATAGAGTTTTTATTAAAGTATAAAATTGTTATAGAGTTTATATAAAATTAATAATTAGATTGCAATACCAATAACAAGATCCATGTTTATATGAGATATCATTCTCTGTACACATGAATAAATAAATAAATTTAATTAATTAGGGGAGGTGCTACAATCGTGTTATTTTTAAGAGTTCGTTCAAAGAAGTAACGTGAGCATTACTGCGTTTCGGTTTTGAAGGCTAAGGATACTGGTGAAATTACAGACACATGGGAACTGAATGGGACTGCAACAGTCCTGGATAGGCGTGTCGCTTGCCACCAGGCGCACGACTTGTTCGTCCCGTAGCTTGATATCATAAAAAAAGAAAAGATCCTTTACATGCTACCAAGGGGTTTTGATTGTGATAATCCTTTGACATTTGCGTACAGTTTATTCATATACTCGTATTTTATAACATTACACATCACTTTCCGTATTTTCCGTGACGTTTTCCACGGTTGATTTGACAGTTATTCGATTACAACATAAATTGCATCTATATACACCTATATAGTAAACTAATTTTATGTACTTGCTGCTTAGTTACCGAAAACTTCACTCCTGACTGATATGCAAGCAGGCTACTGTGTAACATTACTAATTAATATGTTGTTGAATACTGAGTAAATACATCAACTAGCTGTTGTTAAATTTGTAACTTTGCAATGAAATAATTCAAAATAATAGTGATATGTTATATTAATCTATATAGGGTTCAATAAAATAATTTAATATGAGACATAAGTTGACAAGTCCTATGCGGCTGTAATTTCACCATCACCCTTACCCTTCAAAACCAGAACGCAATAATGCACACATTACTGCTTGGTGGCAAAAATAGGTAAAGTGGCAGTACTTCCCTGGATGAATTCTTTCACAAGGAGCTCTACCTCTGCTACAAATATATTTTAAAAGCAAGCTCGTTAATATAAATTCATATTACAAAATAAGTAATTATGTGTTGCATATATAATGGAATAGTTTGACTATGAATTTGTCGGTCTATACAATAGAATTGAAACAAAAAATGCTAAGTATGCAATGTACCCATGTTATCTACTAATGCATTTCTGCCATCTCGCTGGATTTTAATGTTTCAGGTTAAGAACGGGAATCCACAAAATCTCGGATTTTGTGGATTCCCAAATCATTTGAAATGGAAATCATTTTCAATTGCTCCATGGGAGCTGTTTTCCTCCTCCATTGAACCTGATAAAAAGTGACGATGAGGTCCATGGAGCATGCACACCTAAATAATGCATATTCACTTTCGC